AAGAAAGGATGAATGAGTCAATGAACAAATGAAATGAATGAAATGAACACGCTCAACAATTAAAAGCGGGAGGGGCGCGGGGGAGGGCGCAGCGCCTCCCCCGCAATGTAACTTGGCACGACCAAAAAAACAAATATCATGAAGTTTCCCCAATGAATCTTCCTTTGATGGTCTCTGTGCTGGGCATCTGGACAAAGCTTTGCAACATCGCATTTCAATTTCACAGCCTTCCTTCCTTCCTTCCTTCCTTCCTTCCTTCCTTCCCGCTAGCCCTTCCTTCCTTCCTTGCTTCCTTGCTTCGTTTCTACCTACCTGCCTACCTACCTACCTTCCTTCCTTCCTTCCTTCCTTCCTTCCTCCCGCTAGCCCTTCCTTCCTTCCTTCCTTGCTTCCTCTTCCTTTCTTGCCTCGTTCTTTCCTTCCTTCCTTTGCTCGTTTGTTTCTATGTTTTTTTTAATGCATTTTTATTTATTTTTTGATGCATTCTTGTTTATTTTTTGATGCATTTTTATTTCTATTTTGATGCGTCTCCCCTTCACAAAACTCTTCCGAAGCCCAAGACCTTTCGAATCCTTGAAAAGGATCAGCATGGAACCAGAGCTATGACAGCTATGAGGCATAGAGTTCTACATGTGCGTATGGTTTACCATATTCAAATAATATCATTTCGCTCAGGGTGCACCATCTGCGGCCCAGTGGCGATTCCTCCACCGACCACGACCACCCTCTGCGACATGGTCCTGCCGAGTGGACAAAGACAGGGTTGTCCCGGCCACATGGGTCAGTCAAGTCAGGCTTGGCAACACACCATCCCTCTTGGAATCGCCCAAGAAGTCGCCTTGGCAACGTCAATCTTTCTTCGGCTCCCAGGGCACCGAGTCTGACGGACACAGTGTCTTTCACCCTCACTCCACTCGTCGTACGCACCCAGTTGGTTGCACTGGAAAAAACCACACCCTGTCGTCTGGAGTGTCTGCACACCTCGGACACAAATCTTGCACACCCAAAGGTTACCTCCAGGACTCCTCTCTCTCTCTTATTCAAGAAGTGGAGCTGAAGTTGACCCGAGCCAACTCGACCAACATCATGAAACACGTGTGGAAAGAAATACGACCAGTAGTTGCTTCAGAGAAGGACAAGAATCAAGCGCTGCATCATGTTCTATCGTGAAGCTCATACAAATCCAAATTGCTGAGCCCGTTCACTCCGCTTGCTACTTTGCTTCTAGTCGTCCTTTGGAAGCTCAATACACTTGCGCACCAGGACCAGAATATACCAATTCTTTCAATGTCCCACACCCATAGTTCAACCCGGGCAAGGTCAATCCAAACCATCACACCCACCTGGAACTAGAAGCCATCGTCCAAAGGGTCTATTTCTCTTTATGTGGGTAAGGGTAGAGTAGAGTTCTCCTAATTCCCCTTCCCCTTCCGTACAGGACTCGCCTCTCAACAGAAAAAAAACGGCCGTCTGGCTGCTCGCTCGGTGAACGTGGCGGGTCGTTGTCCGTGTCCGTCCACGTTTCGCAGACGGTCTGCCGTTGAGCCCAAGCGGCGCTGGAACGGACGGAGAGGCCGAAACGAGCAACCGGCCCGAAGCGTGTCGTGTCGGACCGTCGCTTTGCGGAGCTCGGGACCTTGCACCGATCTGAATCTCTAGAGCCATTGGTGGGACCTCTCCGAGGAAGCTAAACATCCGTTGTGGATTCCCTTTTGGATTGCATCAAGAAGCTTCATTCAAAATAGCATGACGTAGCCACACTGGGCCACACTCCGCACGATTCCGGTGCTTCGGCGCTTTTTCGTGCAAGGAGTAAAAACTCCTGCGAGACGACAGGGGGAGGCCGCCTGCGTACTGTGCATTCAACCTGAGTGTCCAGAGAAGGGAAGAGGAAGATCAACAGGAGCTACGAAAACTCCATGGTTCGCAAGACTTCGCATTGGCAACTAGTGGCAAAGGTTCAGGGAACCCAGGAAGACACTTCCATGTGTTCAAGGTAAACTCAGCAAACTCTGTCTACTCACCCACTGAAGGTAGTTCGTGCTTCCTCATTTTATTCCCCTGTGCCCTTTTGCACTTTGAAAATCAAGTTTCTGGAGCATTTGTGGGCGGATTCTTTTTGAAGGAAAGCCACTGGGGCCATTTGAAGGTGGCATTTCTCAAAAAAGTCCAGGATGGGGCCTGGCCCCTCGCCATTTGAATTCACCAACACCTTTGCTAACCACTACTATCCTTTCTGAGACTGTCTGAGACCAACCCACCGGTGTAAAGTTAGAAACTCCGCCGGTTCCGGATGAAGTTGATCGACAGCAGTGCTCCGTTTCGACAGCTCGACAGTCGTCCTCTGAGATGAAATCGGGACCGTTTTGGGGGCACACAAATCGAGCTGATCTGAGATCCCAGTTTCAGATCTCGGTCGATGCTTGATGTCAGTCAGTGGACGGTCACCGTGGACGGTCAACACCCACGAAACTGGTGTGCCCAGGCGGCTGGTTCTGCAAGGACAGCTCTGCTGTACCGCCACTGGACGACTCTGCGCCCAGGTTCCTGGGCAGCCGAGGTGGACCTGTCTCTTCGCTCCGACCGTTCAGTGGGCGTTTCTGTTTGTCGTTGTTTGTCGTTGTTTGACTGACATGTTCATGTTCACCACCCTCGGGTGGGGCGCCCGGTCGTTTGGCAGTCGTTTGGGCTGTTGGGGAGCTCTTTCTCTTTGCAAGGCCATCTATGTACCGAGATTGACCTCCCACAAACAACTGCTTATATCTCTGGGCTGTCTTTTCCACATCATACGCCCAGGTACGGGCCAGAGCGGAGAGTGGCTGAAGATCTGTCCTTCTTCAAAGGGATCCGGATGATCTCCTCTGATTGGCAGATTCTCACGTGTGATCGTCTCTTGAATATAATGGGTCATGGCAGTATATCGCTATATCATATCCATGTATATATATATATATATATCAGCAATTATATGAGTGACAAGATCATATATCATCTTGGGTATATCGGAGCTACAGTGAGACACCAACTACAGTGGTGTGCCTCGAATTCTTGGAACTCCGGCCCTCAGCGACCATCCCGGTCAGCGGACGCATGTCCCTCTCCGCATGTTATCTGCTCATGAAGAAACATGAAGAAACTGATTGCGTGTGAAGTAACTGGTTGCATCCCACACAAATATATACTCAATGGTCGCCCCTCATGTTCTCCATCCAGGTTCGCTCACCCCGACGGCGTTTAAACAAGGATATATTACCCATCAAGACATGGTGATGAAGGGTTAAAAGGGTCGGGCTGTCCAGAGTTTCAGGACCTGATCAGGTCTTGTCCTGCAGGCTCTCTACCAGTTTTCTATGTCTCCTTAAGCGATCAAACATGCATTGCCAGTTGTGTTCCTCTGGCCCTTCTCGGTCGCCTCAGCTATCGCCGCAGACGCGAGGCACCACACAAAGAAGGTCGCGAGGCACGGCATTGTGCGCCAGATTTCGTCGCGACGACTGTGCAACACTTGTGGTGCGAAAGCGAAAACCACAACGGGCTGCAGTCGGACCGGCGTGGCGCGACTGCGTTGCTCAGAATCCTCCAAGATCGGATCCAAGTTGTGCCCAAGATTGGTCCTATCACCCGTGCCTCAAGTAGACCATCCATCATTCTATACTCTTCGCATTGGGTTGGTCGAATTTCTCCGAAAGATCTTGGTAGACCCTCCATGCCGGCTTTAACGGCACCCCACGGAGAGATGGAGCCCCCGTATTAAGGACTGGAACCGGGGCTTTTCGGTGGTGTGCAGTGGTGTAACGGGAACCAATGCGTCTCTGCTAGAAACAGTAATACGCAAAACTTCATACTAGTTATTCCAATCCCCAGATTTGGTTGGACTTGCTCAACGGACGCAAAAAAAAAGAACACGGTACTTTTGATTTCAAGGTGTCCCAGAAAAAAGGGATTCCCTACCAAGGCAAACAATGAGCTGCTCTTTTGACTGAATGATGAGTTGCTTTGCCCTTGCAATGCCCTTGCAAACAAAGGGCTCTACGATGCAGTGCTTGCAAACAAAAGACATGACAAAACGAATCGCTCAGATCTTAGAAAAAAATATCCGATCCAATCAGTATAGCAGGTGGCTTAACATATCATTAAACATATATATGTATATATATATATATTGCATATATATATATATATTAAGATCAGGATCTACAAGGGCGTGTTTCTAGATTCTAGATTGACCAGACTCTTCAAACATGACAAGTCCCTCCCCTTCTACCGGGACCAAACAAACAGCTGCAGCTGCAACCAAGGAATGTAGAACCTTGATTGAACAAAACCCCCCCCGTTTGGGCTGTAAACCTCTTCATCACCTCCCATTGCGGTCCGTCCCCATCGAAGTCCCCTGTTGGGACAAGACGCGCATTGCATGGGGGGTTTTGTCACTCAAGAGTCTATAGTCTACTGTCTTCATCGACCCTCGCAGATTCTTCCTCATCGAGGTCCCTGCAATCCAAGACCTGCAGCATGCAAGCAGTCCGACCACGAAGTGAAGCAGTTGGTCAACGAACCACGAAACGAACTGCAGCAGCCTGTGGAAACTCATCACTCTTCTTTCTTTTCCAGCCCTGTTTTCTTCACAAGAGAATGGTTTCTGGAACAAAAGGTCAAGGAACACTGAAAATGAGTACTGCAAAGTACATAGAAAACTTATCTCATCTCACGCACCTCTGCTGGCCCTGCTGGGGGAAGCTCCGCGAACTTGGAAAGCTCGCCAGCGTTGGGCGATCCTGCGGTTCGAGGCGATCCATCGGTCCGTCCGATTTCCCAAGCGCCCCCTGTGGGCCCAGGAGGATGATGGTAAAGGCTTTGCAGGCCGACATCCATCCATCCAGACATCCATCCATCCATCCATCCATCCATTGAAGACCTTTCTCTAAAATAGTGATGGACAAGTGTTTACCAACTGTTACAGTTACAGGTATATAATAATAGGACAGATCCAAACGGGATCATTGCTTGGATCAAAGGACATCAATGACCATCAGTAATTAAGGGATCATTCCTTGGTCATTGATGACCTCTGATCCGGAATACTTGATATTACTTTGACAACAATCATTGGTGGTTAATCTGATGACTTGGTCATTGAGGTGTTTGGGAAACGAGAGCAATGTACTGTACACACTTTCAACTCCCCGTTTTTTTATAGAGGAGAGCCTCTTCGGTCGGGTGTCCTCTTTTCCATGTTCATCGAGGGAGGCGTTCCATTTCGATGTTCAGACCATCCCATATGAGTGACCAAGGGCACAAGGAATTAGTCCAGCTTTCCCGTTGGTTGGAAGTCTGGCCCTTGGAAAAATATACCATCTATATGTTTTATGTAGGGATTGGCCATAAAACAGTATTTGAGCCAAGAGTTCTGAGGCTCACTGAGGGTAGTAGAATCAATCACTCCCTGACTGAGAAAAGTCAGAAAAGTCCGCTGCGGCGCAGCGTTTTGCGCACCTGCCAAATTCCGCTGCCGATGATCATGTCCGGGCGCGGTGGCTAGAAGAGCCAAAGCCTCATCGAGAAACCCATTTGTTAGCTTTCAGAACACCGGGCATGGGTGTCATGGCACCTCCTGAACAGGCAAAAACTGCGGGACCTTCTTGCCTTCATGAATAAATCATCTCATCTATTAATTAATTAATATAATAAACATCTATATACTATAAGCGGAATTTGAGTTTGTGGCCCACCCCAGGCCCACGTAATATTTCGGAGAGCCACCCTAGCTCAAAGTCCCCCCGGCCCCCCTGCAAAAACACGAATTGGCGGCACGAACCCGCGCCTCACTTGGGGCCCCCGCCTGGCTTGGAGCATATCCTCCGGAGGTGGCGGTGCCATTGACTCCCACCTCAACCTCATCATCGCTGTCCTCGCCACGCCGGAAGACCGCATCGCGACACGAAACCGCGGATCCAAAGGTCAGGGATTCTGGACTGAAAGGTGGTAGATCGCCTGAATGCCAATACCATCCGTTATGATACATCATAAAGCATGACGAAACTCTGTTGTTGCAAGCGACTTCGATCATCTTCCATACCTCCGGTGAAAAGAAGTCACCGTGGTTTTTGCTACACCATTTTACCTCTCAACCAGTACTGGTCAAGGTTAGAGAGTGTTCATGGGTGCTTCCGCATCAAGGACCACAGGGACCACAGGGGAGCATCTTTGGAGCAGGTGTTGGAGGTGGAAAGCAGGGGCTTCTGTTGACTTATGATATTTATGCTTCGTTTCCCACGGCGTTTGATTTCCATTCAGCGCTCCAAACGGAAATGCGAAGCGAGGTTTAAGCAAATCCACCGCAGTGAGAATGAAAAACATATCAATTGACTCAAAAGAGCACGTGAGATCTCTGAGAACGATTGGTCTATATATATTTTTTTTTTCTTCTGCATACGAAACAATCATGGAGACCCTTTAGCAGTGTCTCCAACTCTATGACTACAAAGACCAATTCTTAACCAGATTTGGGAAAACTCTGCCTGCAACTTGTTGGGTTGAACATGGAAATCAGTTTGGTGCCATAATGCGAGGCTTTTCAGAATTCCCAGTCTGCCGCCCAGTCTCTGACCAGCTGCCAGGACACGGGATCGCTACCTCGGTGGAAGACGGTCGATCATGGTCGAACGACCTAAGCCGGAGTCGACATGGAACACATGACGATCCGTTTGAAGAGCTGCAAATGTTTCCCTTTGAGGTTGGTTGGTTCGTTTCTTTCCACACACCCCGGCCCCCAGCCTGGCCTCATCCTCCTCCATGGCAAGCCACAAGAAGCGGTTGCTTTATCGCGTCGTGCGCGATTGCTCTGGAGGGTAAGCGTGTGGCTGAGAAGGGAAGGCGTGGGAGGATTTGCTGAGAACGTGGATGGAACATGCTGAAGAATTCAGAATGGCTGACTTCGAGGCATGTCTCTGCCTGCTTTCAGAAGTTTACATGCGTCTTTATGATGCATGACTTGCTTCTTCGGTGTCTCCATCGATGTTGTGGCCGCCACTGGGGCGGCTTTCAGTGTCACGTCGGAGTCAAGCGAAAGACCCCCCCAATGGGATTCAGTACACTTTGATCAGATGTCAAAGTCTTCAATGTCGATACTGCATCTCTTTGACAAGAACTTGACATTCTGTTTTGGGATGGCTTCGATTCTGTGCAGCGCCTTCTTAGTAAGTTCGACATGTGAAGTGCTAGATTTCTGACTGAGGTGTTCCTATAGTTAGTTCATCGATTAAGATGTTCTTGCTCAACCAGTCTACTACAGCTCAAACATGCTCTTTCACATTCTTTCACCCTATCTCACCCCAAAAAATGCTGAATTCACCCAACTGGGCAAAAAAAAGGAAAAACGCGCTCCCACCGCCGCAGGGCCGGCCTGGCTCCCATCACCCGTCCGTCCCCCGGTCCATCGTTCGCCGCTCCGAGGCGGGGAGAGACCACCGGCCTGACCACCTTCTCCGGGCCTCGGAGCCGCGACGGATGCGGTGGAAACCGCCGGCTGAAGCATGTTGGGTCAACAGAATTGGTTCGGTTCGCAGGAGCGGAACACGGAATGCATGAGTCATCCACACTCGCAGTCATCGGTCCCGACGTCATGAGCACCAAGTGGGCTGGGTCACCCCACCATCGCAGGGGGATCCTCCGTGGCGCGCCAAGGTGAGGATGTTCCGGTGCCGCTCCTCCCAGCTCTTCGGAGCTGGTGTGAGATCTGAGATGGGGCTGGGCATAGAATTAATCATCAGATCAGAATAAACATAAATGGCAATGATCAAAAAAATGAGCTGAGATTGAATACAGCTGCAGATTCAAAAACGCGGAATGGATACTGGTCCAGAAGCCAGTAGGACACGCGAAGTCATGAGAACTTGTTGGGACCCGTGCGCAAATTCTTTGAGAGTACTGCCCAGCATGCAGTCAGATCGACTCAAATGTCCCTACAAAGGGGCGATTAAAAATTCGAAGCGTAGAGTAGAAGTTGTCTCTTCCTTTCCTGGCACCAGACAATGTGGAAAATGAACACCACGTGACCAAACAAGCTCTTCGAGCTGAAAATATGGGTCATGTCACCCTGTAGCACAGCTTCTTGCGTCGAATCAAAGAACAAGAGAGTCGCGAGCCAGTATGGCCAGCCAACTAGCCCCGCTTTCAGTCTTTCTCAGCTCCACTTCCCCTTGGGATAAAACCATGAAGCACCAACCACCGCGCACAGCACCGCGCACAACCGCGCTGAGCCGCTCGCCGCTCCGCGCTCCGCTCGTCCTGATGCCCATTGCACAGGGAGGTGCAGGCACTCCATCGAGTCCAATCGGCCCAAGCACAGGCCAGCTGACGGGGCCGCTCCGATGACCCACGACGGTTCCGGCGCCGCGGCTCTTCGAAGCGCACCGGAACGGAGGCCGAAGCGAACCTGGAGAGATCTGAGTAGGCATGAGTAGGCTTAGTATAGATCGAATTCCTTGGGATTTGGTGCAACTGGTTGGCATAAGTAGTTCAATGCCTTGCAAAGGGATGGTTTTGCTTTGATATGTTGATGATCATGGGACTTGGAGGCTTTGTGCACGGACATGTTCGTGTTCTAACGGAGGAGACGTTAATTGAACAGTAGATGATCACAGGTCATGTCCTATATAAGCAACAACATAATGTGTGTTAACAGAGTAGAGAACTCTCCAAGCAGGGTGCTCTAGGACGATGCCCGATCGACTCATATCGCCGCCCCGCCCAGTCGGCCTTGCCGGCCGCATGGCACGGCTGGGTGTTGCACTCCTGAAAGTCCTCGCTCGGAGTCCACGGAGGAACCGGAGCCGGACGGGGTGGGAACGGACGGTGCCCGAGCCCTGGTGCACGAAGGTGACAGGATGAGTCTTTTCCGTCGAGGCGACAAAGGCCATGTGGGAGAGCACTCTCCAAAAAAAGTATTCTAATTACAGGCATATTATGAGATCACCTCTTCACTGAGCGGCTTTGAGCTGCGAAGCGCCTTCCACCCACCGAGCTGGGGGTCCTGGAGGTCGCCCTTGCAGGGATCTCCACCCTCGGAGGCCTGCGCGACCCCGCGCGCGGTCCCTGGAGATCACCGGAAGCCGCCATCGACCATCGGCAGCTTCATAGCTTGGTTGCAAGTTGACATACCCTAGCCTTCCACTACCATTCAAAGAAAAGTTGAGCTGGTCTTGTAGTGCTGCAAAATCCTCAGTAGTAGAACAGTGGTTGTGCCGTAAAGGCAATTAAATCAATGTATCATGATTCCTCACCAAGGAATTTACTGTAAGTCTGAGAATCTTTTCTTGATGATCTTGGTCGTGTCATCCACAAATCACTCGAAAATGAAAAGCATCACATAGCTGGCTCATTTCATGGTGGTCCCACCCATGCGCTGGCCATCTTGGTGTCCAGAATCCAGCGCCTCTCCTCTGCCCGAAATCAAAAACACCTCAAATATCTCCAAATCAACTCCGTCCTCCCGATCCATCCGCGGCAGCCCTCGCCCGGTGTCTTTTTCCTCCGCCCGCTTTTTCCTCCGCGGGGCCAGTTGCGCCGGCCAGCGTGACGTGGCGCCATCAGGATGATGTGCGGTTTGGAAGCAGCGTGTAGGGCGGACACAGGATGCCTGCAGCTTGAAATCACACAGAAACGTGGAGACATGTGAAGATGGGCTCTTTATCGTGGGCTCCAGTCTCTCAAACCCGCCTGAGTCCTTGTGCCCATTTCGGAAGCTTGGGCATCCCCTCCGACGGAAGCTTCGAAGGCCTCCAGCGAGCTCGCACATGCTCGGCGACCTGGCTGTGATAGGTTCATACAGATTGGACGCATGTGAGTAGATCAACCCCAAGCGGCTGACTCGTTCCGGGGAGTTCTTCCAGATTCTTTGGGGGGTACAGCCCAGCCGGGCCGCTCGGACGGCGTGAAACGCCTGGGGCAGAGAGCCCCAAAGGAAAACGCTCAGGAAGGTCCCAGGTGTCCAAATCACAGCCATGGTGACCTGGGCACTTCCAGCCTGGCTTTTCTTGGCAGAAACGGGCGCCGGGTTCCGGCGAAGGTCTGGGGATGAGTCCCACCTGTGAAACCATATTTTGGGATGCATTAAATTAGGGAGATGCATGGAAGACCTGGAAGAAGGGAAATTGGCCAAAACAAGCCAAAACCCACTGATGGAGGGGGGTCGTACCTCCTATTATACACACCCATATCAGATCCCACACTGCAGGTCTTGTGCCTCAAAGCCCAGGGTCTCTCTTTTGGGGTGATCTTCAGGGCCACAGCTTCTCAGCCAAACGTTGCTGCCGCCCAGATCGTTGAGCGCCGATCTCGCAGCTTTGCAAAAGAAACGGACCAAACGCTCTCAGCTTTGCCGTCACGGGTTCTATCAGGTGCTTGGTGCCACTTCCAACCTTCCTCATGCAACTGGAACTTTGGAAAAACCACCTGAAGCTGCGCTGCCCGGTGCACCTGGGTCCTTCAATTCAAGGCACACACAGACAGATGAAACACTATGCAACATGGACCCTCCTCATCTGCCCACTGAGATGTTCCAGAGTCTTGCTCCCCCCACTAGACGGGGATGACACACAGCCATCCCGAGGATCAGCGCATTCCGCTTCCGCATCCGCTTCGACCCGCCTCAGGTAAAGAACTTGCTGGAAGCAAAGAGTTCGCTAGGAGATGACACCCAACCTGAGAGCAGAGCAGCCACGGTCAACTCGCACAAACCCGCCCATGCACTGGTTGGTGTGGAAGAAACACACGCGGAATTGGTATACGGTATACTGGAGTCTGGTTTGGACACGGGCTGGGCACCTGCAATTTGCTGGGGGTGGTGTTCCACTGGTGGTGTTTGCAGAACTTGCTTGTATGCCCTCGGTTTCTTGGTGTGCAAGGAGTATGCGGGCAGTGGCACACTTACCATGGCTAATATAATTGTTGTTGATACCTCACGTCGCCTCACGTCTACGCAACGGAAAAATTGGACTAATACCCCATACCGATACCCAAATCACTATTTAAAGGAGAATCCCTCGCCTCTGATCTACAGTATGTACAAAACAGTTTGACAGCTTGCTTGCCCAGTTGCACCGTCCATTGCGCCGACCTTGGTCCTCCTAAAGAAAGAAAGAAACGAGTTGGCACCTGGGATGCTCACGTTCCCCGTGGCTTTGAGCCAGTGTTCTCTCTCTCTCTCTCTCATACTGATACCTTTCTGAGGCGCCAATGCCTGATCAATGTAGACCATGTATGACCATGTAGACTCTTGCTTCATTAAACCCCCCAATTAGATTGACCTCTTCATGTGTGGTTATTTTTCGTTTCTTCAAGAGTCTACGTATATGCCTGTATCTGCCTTTTATATAAGTGCAATATGTTTTTGTTTCGAACGTCTCCACCACCCACAAGGTCACGCGCCTCCCCGCATCCAGCCACGTCACGTGCGGCCGGGTACCGCTGCGCGAAGGCTTCTTGAGCCAGTGCCGCGCTCCGTTCCACGGCCTTTCCACCGATGGCTGCCGTGATCAGCAGGCGCCTCCGGTGCGCGAGGGGCTCCCTCCCCTTCAGGTTGGATGGTTTTGGTTTTGGGCCGCATAACCCCTCAAAGCTTCGGTTTGGAGATCGGTTTGGACGGGTTTCGCACCGATGTGTTGAGAGACCGCCTCCCCAAATCTTTGGGCCAAAGTTTGTGGCTGGCGGCTATGATATACCCTCTCCCAAAGACAGCAAAAACCACGGTGGCGCCACGGGTTTGACGTTTGACCAAACTCTCGGTGTCACATCC